CAACGTTTATTTATTTTTGGGACAGAGAGAGACAGAGCATGAACAGGGAAGGGGCAGAGAGAGAGGGAGACACAGAATCGGAAACAGGCTCCAGGCCCTGAGCCATCAGCCCAGAGCCCGACGCGGGGCTCGAACTCACGGACCGCGAGATGGTGACCTGGCTGAAGTCGGACGCTTAACCGACTGCGCCACCCAGGCGCCCCGAACTCTTTTCAATACAAATACTAGTGAAGAAGATATTTAAGGAAACAACATCAAACACTGAAGAATTTAAGTTTAGATCACTTATAGAAAATTAATTTTGATTATGCAGTTTTACATGCAACTTGGTTTACCAAACAAAAAGAAATGAGGGCATTTCTTCTGATCTGTAGAAAAGCTACTTACCAAGATATACTTGGGATCCTTCTAATGAAGTTCCTCCCAAGGAACTATTCATATGTTCATAAAGCTCCTATAAAATATAGACTCAATTTAGAACATTTTACAATCATTTCAGACACTAAATTAGAGGTATGATGACCAGGAAAAACTTGGTTCTTTAACCTAGACAGTTTGTTTTGCCATACCCTAAATTTAGAAATAATCAAGGTCTCTCTGAAACCTTACCAGTTTCCAGCACTCCCTCCTTCTCTTCCTCTTCATTTAAGAGCTTAGTTCATTCACATGGTGGTATGGATTGTAGGCTAAGTTCCCTCTACTTCTTTGGTAAACACCTAATTGTCCTACACTCACTAGGATCCAGGAGAGATCCATGTTCTACACATTCATGGCAGCCCTGAGAAAAACATGTTATCCATCTTTAGTAAAATAGTCACGTAGTATTTATTTATTTATTTATTTATTTATTGCTTTGGGAGATAGAAACCAGAAGACTAATATATAAACACACTGTGCAGTAAATAAGTAAAATAAGCAAATTTAGAAAAGCAATGCCATAGCAAACGAGCTACTATCCATTAACGGAGGCACTTAATTGCACTTCTTTGTAGTCATTATTTAATAAAAGGCAGTATGATTAAATTTAATAAATATGATCTGTACATTTTGGGCAAATCCCTTGCCATTCTTAAGAAGAATGTCTTTCTTAAGCTAACAAAAGATTATCTTTACAATATTGTTGACAAGATTTACTTGATTCATGAAACAGTCTTCAGCCAAATACAGCTATAAAGGGATATAGTTACCTTTAGAATGGAAATTTGGGAAAAATCCTTCTCTTCAAAATATGCATGTGTAATGAGCTGAAGTTTTGCTTGAAGCAAGCCATAGAGAGGCTTAAAGAAGAAAAAATTACTATTAGTTTGGTAATAGGAAAAAATCAAACACCTTACAAACTTGTAATTGAAAGAGAACAGGGAGAAAAAGTAACTTCAACTTTAGTATCTTACTATTCACAGCTGAGAGCTGTTAAATAATCTGTTCTAGCTCTATGGCTGCTGTTGAAAAGCACCTGACCCTTGGAGTACAGTGGTTGAGCGTGTGTGGGCAGACGTCTTGGGTCTATTGCATCACTCAGCTACATGACCCTGGGCACCAAATTTCCCCACACCTGCTTGCTGATATGAACACCAGGATATGAAAAGACAGTACATCTTATGAGGTTGTTTCCAGAATTAATATAACACAGGGTAAAAGCATTTAAACGGGGGCACCTGGGTGGCTCAGTTAAGCATCTGACTTGGGCCCAGGTCATGATCTTGTGGTTCGTGGATTCAAGCCCAGCATCAGGCTTTGTGTTGACAGCTCAGAGCCTGGAGCCTGCTTCGGATGCTGTGTCTCCCTCTCTCTCTCTCTGCCCCTCCCCCACTCATGTGCGCACATGGGCACGCGCTTTCTCTCTCAAAAATAAATATTGGAGAGATCCAACATGGTGGAGAGGTAGGGGAACCCAAAGTTCCCTGCTGTGTTGAGGCCAAAGGACTTTGAATTCCAAGAGTCCAGGCTGCAGAGTGACAGAGCCTTCTCCAAGGGCCCACAGGGATAACCTGGAGGGCCATAGGTGCGTGACTGTGAACTGGGAGAGATAAAATGGGCAGTGTAGGCAGGGATGGGTGGGATCCCCTTCTGCGGAGAGACAAAGGGAAGAGAAAGGCTGGGGAAGCATATCTGGACAAGAGAAAAACCACGGACTGAGATGGACATAGATAAAACCGCTAACTGCTGAGCTTTCCCCAGACTAGGGCCGGCTGCCCTGTTCGGGCACCTGGGGATGAGGGGAGCCAGCCCCAGGCTCAGTAAGTAGTTCAGAGGTGCAGTCCGCAGTGGGAGAAAGCAATCCCTCCCTGGAGTGCAGTGGGAAGAAGGTACATAACCGTTCAAAGGACAAAGACTGCCTGTGCCCGCTAGTCAGAGGCCATATATTGGTGGTGCGGAGAGGCACTTCCCCAGAACTGGGGCATATTTAAGACATCAGGGTTTAAATCCAAGTCCAGCCTCAGGGAGGTGCGGGAGTTGGCAGAGCGGGACAAACTGCCGTATTCATGCCTGTGCCACTGTGAGGATGGCCTGAATAGACTGGTCTGGGACACCCAGTGCAGGGAAGAGAGACTGGGTTGTCACCATTTTTCTCCCCATCACCAACAAGGTAGGGCCTCAGGGAACAGACAGTGGGCCCACAGTGGAGGCGGGACCCACCTACACCAAACCACGCCCCTCCACACCTGGTAACTGTA